AGAGAAACTATTTGGTATTTACACGTGTGTCCTATTTATTTCACTTAAGAATATCACCTCAATGTGCATCCATTTAGCTATAAATGTCTCTAATTTCTCATTTTATGTGGCTGATTAGTACTACCTTTTGTAAAAAAACCCCCACATTTTCTTTATCCAGTCTCCAGTTGAAGGGCAATTGGACTCCTTCCAACTTTTAGCTATTACAAATTGTGCTGCTTTGAACATGGGTACACATATATCACTGGTGTGAATATTTTAATTCATTGGGGAACATACCCAGCAGGGGAATAACTGCAGCGAATGGGACTTCCAATCCTAGTTCTTTGAAGTATGTCCATACTGATTTCCACAGTGGTTGCACCAGTCTACGCTCCCACCAGCAGTGGAGCAGTGTTCCTCTTTCCCAACGGCCCCACCAGCATTTGTTATTGGTTGATTTCACATAGCAGCCATTCTTTCTGGGGTGAGGTGGAATCTCAACTTTGTTTTCATTTGGACCTCTCGAATGACCAGTGATGTTGAACATGTTTTCATGTATTTATTTGCTATTTCTACTTCTTTGTGTGAGAAATGTCTGTTCATTTCAGATGCCCATTTTTTGAACTGGGTCTTTAAATTTGGGAGGTCTGAATTTTTTTTTTTTAAGTTCTTTATAGATTGAAGATAGTAGACCTTTGTCTGAGGAACAGCAGGTGAAAAATTTTTCCCACATTGTGGGTTGTCTCTTCACACTGTTGGTAGTTTCTCTTGCTGTGTAGAAGCTTTTTAATAAGAAAGGATCCCACTTGTTGATTGTTTGTTCTTGTTCACGGGCAACTGAGATTTTGTTCATAGAATCTTTTCCTACACCAGTGTCTTCAAGAGTTCTACCTAACCTCTGTTCCAGCCAGTTCAGTGTTTCTGTTTTAATATTTAGATCTTTAATCCATTTTTGATTTTAGTTTAGTGCATGGTGAGAGATATAGGACTAGTTTTAATCTTTGGGATGTTGAAACTCAGGTTTTCTGCACCATTTATTAAAGAGGCTATCTTTCCTCCAGTGAGGGTGTTTTGCTCCTTTGTCGAAGATGAGGTAGCTTATTGTGTCTGGAGTTGTTTCTGCATCTTCCAATCTGTTCCACTGGTCCTCAGGTCCATTTTTTTGCCAGTGCCATGCTGTTTTTATCACAGTGGCTTTGTAGTATAGTTTCAAGTTGGGAATTGTGATACCCCCAACCTTGTCTTTATTGCCTAGAATTGCTTTTGCTATTCTGAGTATCTTCTTATTCCAAATGAATTTTTGGATTGTTTTCTCTAGGTCTGTGAATTATGCTCTGGAATTTCAATTGGATTGCATTAAATCTGTATAGCAGTTTTGGAAGTATGACCATTTTCACTGTGTTTATTCTTCCTACCCAGGAGCAAGGGATGTCTTTCCATTTTCTGATATCATCTTCAATCTCTCTTTTCAGAGTGTTACAGTTTTCAGAGAAGAGGACTTTGATTTATTTTGTTAGGTTTATTCCTAGGTATTTCAGTTTTTTGGATGCTATTGTGAAAGGAATTGTTTGCCCTATTTCTCTCTTAGTGAGTCTGTTGCTTGTGTAGAAGAAAGCTATTGATTTTTGTTTGTTGACCAAGTATCCAGCTACTTGACTGAATTGGTTATTAAGTCTAGAAGACATTTGGTGGAGTTCTTGGGGTCTTCTTTATAGAGTATCAGGTCATCTGCAAATAATGACAATTTAACTTCTTAATTTTCTATCTTTATTCCTTTTATTTCTTTCTCTTGTCTAATTGC